CAATCTGGATTTTTAAACAGTTTTCTCATATAAGTACCATGCGCTAACCAATTGCACAAGTAGAGTTCCTAAACGGTTTACTCAAAAAAAAAAAGGGTGAGTGTATTTCCTTACAGGTCACATTTTGAATTTAGATGTAGGTGCCTGTGACTCTCTGAGTCTTACCTCTTTTCATAAGAAATACATGATTTTGTCAGGGTTTGAAAGAGAAAACAACTCTAGGGTGATTTTGTAGGGATGAAAGGGAAGCTACTTTCAGCAGAGTGGAATATATAATCAATCTTTCCAATGAAAAACATGAAAATACACCTAGCAGAGTCTCTTTTCTTTTCCAGCAATTGCATGAGTCAGCTGTACCAAACTATAAAATGCTTTCTGAAAAAAACATTTTCTTGGTAAGTTGACTGATTTTTAAAATGTATAAAACAATAACTTCCCTCAAGTATCTTTTTTAGTTCATGTTCTTAGCATTTGAGATGCACTCTGGTTGGTAGTGGTTCTGAACACAGCATTTTTGGCACATGCTCAAAAACCATTAAGGAAGTAAAATAGTTAAAATACGCCAAATGACCAAGCACTTACTTCATCTTGACCTGTATTTTAGTTTTATTTTTATATTTTGGCTGATTCCTTTTATTGAAGTGTAGTTGATATACAATATTATATTGGCTTAAAGTCAACAACATAGTGATTCAACAGTTACACACATTATTAAATTCTCACCCCCAATAATGTAGTTACTGTCTGTCAGCATTAAAAGATGTTATAGAACTATCGACTATGTTCTCTATGCTGTACTTTCATCCCCATGACTAATTTATATTATGATTGATTTGTATTTTAATTTTTAAGTCACTAATGCCAAAGACTGGCATTCTCCTGACATAGGGTGATTTGGAGCTGTCTCTCTCCCAGTCATCACCTGCTATGAAGCCCCTGAACAACAACAAAATTTTTGTTGACCTATATAGGATGGATATTAAACAATAGTGTTTTTTTTGATGGCTGGTATTCCAATGCCTCCCTCGCTCCTCTTTCTGGTAATCAAGAGTTGTGATCACGTTGTCTCAAGGTACTTAGGAATAAGCTTTGCTTGCTAAGTGTGTGTCCTTGCTCGGCTCTGTGAAGAGGCAGTGCTGCTGGGATGGAGGGATAGAGGAGGCAGGAGGGGATGAGCTCAGGTCTGTTTTGCGGTAGGTTGTTGAGGTCGTGCTGAATTGTGGAGCTCTCTCTATATGCAGCTCAGTCTTAGGTCGTTATCTTTGGTTCCTGTCTAAAAGTCCTAGGACTTTGATATTTTCAATTGACATTGTGAGAACAGTTTACGGCTTCTAGTCTTTGAACAATGCATGTTTCAAAAGCTCCTGGGCTCAACTGCTCTTAACCTTTTTGTATATCCACTGAAGTGTCTTGCTGACTTGTCTATGGTGGGGCAAAGAGCCGGTCATTCAGATAGATGCCTGTGTTCTGGTCTGGCCTGGCCTGGCTCCTGCACAAACATGCCCTGGAGGGTGGGGAAGGATACAGCTGGCCAGAGGCTCCTGTCCCTCATCTACCATCATCTCCTGTGCAGGTGGCCCAGGGAGTGCTGTTCAGCCCAGGGGAACGCTGTGCATGATCCAGGTGCTCAGCCCAGAGAGAATGTCCCTATTGAAAACGCATTGGGAACACGGCCCTTCACAGCCAGTCGCTGTGGGTCCTTCTGTTATTTGGAAAAGACCATGTCAAATGTCTAACAAAAGTGTTTAAACAGCCCTTCTTCTTTTTGGTGATTTGTGTAGGAAAAGAAGGTTAAATCTGGTGTCTGTCCTTGGCAGAGAAAACTTACATATTCCAGGGCTGTACTTTCTTACAGAGCACTTACAGAACATATAGCTGGCTATAGAGAAGTAATGCTTGAAAATTTAGTTAAAAGTAACAAAATAGGGCCCTCTGATTCTAAATCACTTTGAATAGAAAAGTAGTCTGTACTTTAAAAGAGCATTTGGCAGGGGGAAGTATGGGCAAAATGTAAATAAGACATTGCTAACAACAGTGTTGCCTAAAATTCATCAAAACCTAAAGGAAAACACAGATTTCTTTTTATTAAACCTGTATTATTTCCAGTGTAAGGTCTAAATGGCAAAACACAAATTAAACTTTAAAGTGATTTTAAGTTTCAAAAACTATTTAATTGGAAATGGATTTTTCTTATTATCTTTTAATTAATGCACTTATTTAATCTAAAATTAAATATTTTGATACTTCATTTTACCTTTTTTGGAAATTGCTTATAAAAACAAATATAACACAGTTACAGGTTCAATTATTTAAAAAATACTATTTTCTGTAATATGATAAATATTGCTTTGGTGGGTAAATTAAAGGCTATATCCCAGCCTTCCATTGTGAGCTCATTTCTATATGAGATTCGTTTAAAATTTTATTACTGTGTAGGTCACACAATGGAATAACAGTGTTAATAACTTGATACTGTAGCTGCAGGATTTGCAACCTACTCTTATGAAGCTAACTGCCCTAGGGGCCAGTGGCTGCTCATTTATTTCACCATATTTAAATCAATTGCCGAGGCTGTCAGACAATAAATTGTGTGTCCATCTCTGGTAATAAAACTGACACCTCAAAGTGCAGAGGCTTATACAAAGATTTAATAGCTCCCCCTTTTGGGATGGATTTTTCCTTGTACCATCTTCTGCAGGGAAGGTACAGAGATACGAAGTAACATTCTTTTTCTGTCTTCTTTCTAAATTCTGTTTGACCACTGTCCTGTTGAGTCCAACATTTTCAGCTTCTGTCAAGCTCCCACTTACTGCCTGAGGGGAATTCTTTTGTCTGGGCAGCGGAACAAGATAACCGACTTAATCTTCCTAGTAACACGTGAGTTGCCATGTATCATTTTAATCTGCAAAACACTAGGGCCGAGTAGTGTCACATGCTGATTTTACTTTTCTATGAGAAAGTGACTCCCTGGTTCCATGATGGATTGCTTGTTCTCTTTAAACAACAGTCAAGATGGTGAATGCCCCGGGGTGATAGACAGTGTGCAATGGGAATGGGGGCAAATCTGATGGGCCGGTTCAAGTTCACCTGACAAAGCTGGAGCGGTCTGCAAGCAGCATTCGAGAAGGGATTATTCACACTGGCATTATAGTTTTGAATGCATTTTTCTCCTTGTGCAGCTGCAAAGCTCCCTCACACGGAAGGTTTATGCACCATAATAAAGAGATTTATTTTTTTTTCTCTCACTCACTTGCTTCTTACACTTCACACCTAGTTTCTACTGAACTGTTCAGGCAGAGGACATCTGTATATCCAAACTACACAAAACAAACATCTTCAAAACAATAGCAGCGCTAAAAGACAGTAACAAAAGCCTGTTATTTCTAACATCCAAAGGGACAAAAATTAAGCCTCCTTAAGTTGAATTCAACTCCTGAACTTAGCTTTTTATACACTGTCCTTTCACAACTCTACACACAGAAGATTAAAGTAAAAATTACTTAGTTCAATTTCAGAAAAAGATAATGAAGTTTTTCTAAAAATTACTTGAAAATTTCCCAGTAACACCATTTTGCTCTAAGAAATAAACATTAAAGAATTGGTGGTGGGGGTGGGGCTGGGAGGAAGAAATTAGAAAAGTTTGAGTACAAAGAAGCAAAATAGTTTTCCTTATCAATTAGATGTGGGTCTGAGGAAATGCTTTTTGTCTTCCTTTCCTGCCAACTTTCCATCCTTCTGTCCATCCACTTATCTACCCACATCCTATACTGTTGCAGAATAGGTTCCTGAAGCCTGGAGAGTTCAGACATTCTTTACTTCTGTAATTAAAACATAAGTCCTTATTGTCTGTTGCTTTATGCAGCAAGAGGTAGTTAGCTAATAGGAAGTTACTGAGGATATAAAATGCATAGAATTTTCACAGATGTCTCGTTCATTTCTCATTCATTCAATTATTTGAACAAAAATGAACAAGCACCTACTGTAGCAGCCACTACAATAAGCAAATGCTGACGGTAGAAAAAGGCACAAGACTAAGCTTAGGCTGGAGAGATAGACATAGTCACCCACAAGACAGCTCCAGTGATCCAGGAAGATCATCTGTTGGGGAAAGGTCTGAAAAGGGCTAATGGATGGAACAGGAGTATTCAGGGAGACCACGGTGGAGATCTGACCCCTGTGAAGGAAGAAGGCGAACACAGGCAGACAGGGCAGGAGGAGTCTCTGACAGCAGCGGAGTTTTAAGAAGGTTTTGGTCGGGCCGGTGGGAGGCCTTTGTGTGCAGTCACTTGTTAGAAGTCTTCTGATCCTAGTATCTCTGCCTTGCTTAGTCACTGGCTGAGAGCACTGGGGAACATGATTCATCTTGAACAGTGGTGCATCCAGAGGGGTGCAAGTGGGGCATCAGTCAACTACGCTCCCTACAGCAGATCTGAGTGGTTCTCACTTGCCCAATGGCAGTTGTGAACAGACATGGGCAGTAACCCCAAACTGAGAAAGGTATAACAATCAAGTATTCCAAAACTTGATGGATGTAGGTCTGACTTACACTACCAGGTAAGCTACTAAGACCTGCTGAGATGATAGTTAAGGGGGAAAGAAATGTAGAATAAATAGTGGAGGAGGGAACTGTGAGAACCAGTTGTAATTCCAAAGACTAACTGTAGTAAGGGAGTATCTCACCAATCACCCTGTCTGTGAGTTTCTTTCAGCAAGATCATGGAGGAGCTGCTCCCCAACCTGTGTGAAGAAGTGGAGCTGTGTGTCCGAGGCGTGGCCTGTGGTGGTTTTAAAATTCCTCCCTCATGCCTGTCACAAATGTAAATGCACTAGAAGAAAACATGAGAGAATTAAAAATAAAGAAACCCAGAGTAGGGGAGATCTACACAGGACATAAATGATTAAATAATTCAATTATGTGAAACGAATTCTACATGGAAAAATGGTTTCATACAAAGTCAAATGTCAAAGGACCAACAGAAAAAAAAACTGGAACTCATATCACAAAGTCCTGAATTCTTTAATATATATAAGGAACTTCTAAATCAATAAGAAAAACACCAATACTATTGGTTTTGATAGTACAAAAAGCTCCAAATTCTCAATGGCTTAAACCACAAAAGTTTCTTCTCATCTGTGCTTTGTGTCCATCATGGGTCAGTGGGGGCTTTTCTCCATGTTGCCCTCACTGCAGGACTCACGCTGGTAAGGGGAGATCACCGGATGTTTCCTGGGTCATTCTGGCAGAGGGAAAGAGACTCTGTAGGGCCCTGCACCGGCAACTAAACATGAGCCTGAAATTGGTACTCATCAGTTCCTCTCACACGTCATGGGCCAGAACCAGTCCTATGGCCCCACCTAAGCCCAAGGGGACCAGGCGGTGCCAAATTTGTGCCTGGAAGGCATGAGATCCTGACATTGAGCAGCACTAAGGCTACCGCAAAACCACTCCTGGTAGTCTATGACTCTTTTAGTTTCTCAGCTGAAGGTCTTGTCAAAGAAAGACGATGGCATATTTCATTACATTCCACATGCTGGCTATTAAAGAAGTAAAAAATTCCTCTCTTTCCGAAATTGGTAGGGACATCTTTCTGATCAACAGAGTGAATCTGGGGATCAGTTAGGTATATGACCCCTTTTCCATTACCAGTCACCCAACCTAAAAGAGAAATAAATATGTTCGAGAATTAAATCCTCTATAAAAGCCAGTAAAGTGTTTCAGGGAAAAAAAAAAAAGTATATACTTAAAGAGATACCTTAAAAGTGTGGTCATCTTCTGGTTTATATTTAATAAATTTCTGCTAAGGGATTTGGTGTTGCATATTCCAAGTACTGTTTTAAGGAGGATTGAATATTGGGTAATTAGAATTGTCAAATATGACATATGTAATTTTCTAGGAATCAAAGAGCAATGGGATATATTTAGTATAATGACTAAAATCATAATATTAAATATGTCTTCCATGATTCAGAAGTTTCTTCAGTGCCTCCCATATTAATTCATATATTTACCTGTTCATTTTACAAATATTTATTGATTAGTATACAAGACACTGGGCACTGGGGATACAACCATGAAAAAGTTCATCAAAATCTCTGTACTAATTGAGCTAACATTCTGGTGAAGTGGGACAGGTTAATAAACAGTACAGGTAAGTAAAATATATAATATGACAGAGAGTGATGATAAATGCTATGGAAGTGGAGTAGAGAGGATCCTGGAGGATGGTCAGAGAATCATTAGCAGAAATAATTATAAGAAATCTCATTTATCATTTAAATAAAGTGTAGCGTATTGGCTATAACTATAATAAATAAAACACCTTATGAACTGAAACAAAATTAAAACAATATTAATGCAGATAATTTTAAAGAAGTCAGGTTCAAGTATACATAATTTTCTGTTCTATAATGATCCCAATTATGACATCCAGTATCACACTTACTGTGATGGTAAAGGGCTGGAGAAAAGAGTGGAAAATTTTTCACACATTGAAATATGCAATATTAAGAAACCTACATCACTCAAATCCACTTGAGCTAAATAAAATGAACAATTACAGATGTGCTCTAGAATTAAATACAACAGAATGCAAACCAGATCATCTCACTGAATATGTGACATCTTAAACACTTGTAGAAGCTTCAGACATCTTTTATGGGCATCATTTGCTACATAGAGTAAAATTGATAAATTCCAAATAGTAGCCTATGCATAGAACAATTTATGAAATAATGATTGTTTGAGCTATTTACAAAATCTCACATTTACATTTAAATAATACTAAAAGTAAAAACTAATTTCCAGTTTTACATACCTTGTAAATCGACCACAACATCTCTATGATTAGAAAATTCATAAGAAAAATGGCCATAAGCCAAGCCGTAGTCTGTGGCTTTGTATTCTGTTTTCACCACTTTCTTGTTATTACAGGTAGATTTCACTTTGAACCTAGGCTTTGCCCCTTAGAAGCTTTGTTACTTCTCTATTTTGGTTTCCTCATTTGTAAAGTAGGCATAATAATAGCTACCTTATAGAATTGTTAAAAGAATTATATGCGAAAATGCATGTAAAGTGCTTAAGATTGTATGTGGCGTTTCATAGCATCTAAAACTTATTATTATTCTTTTATTAAAATGCTCACATAAAAATTAGGCCATTGAGTGACCTATCTTAGAGGGCTAGCTTGTCAGGGCATGTAGATAGATCATGCATAGAGATTATGGAATATCAGCTCCAGCATTTCTGTATGTGATCTACTTTGTGGAATTGTTTCAAGGGTTAGAGTTAATGTTTGTTAAATGACTGGCATAGTGCTGCTTGACTATAAAGAAAGTGCAAAATGGATGATAGCTATTATTACAAATATGGGCCTAAAATAAAATATGGGTCTAAATTCGTCTCTGCCAAAGTAGAAAAAAACAAACAAACAAACTTAAGATCTAACATATTTGGGAAGCAGGCAGAGAAAAGTCAGTGGAGATGGTTGTCTTTATATATTTAAAGACATATCTTTAAGGAACACGATTGGTCTCAATGGTCCCAGAAATCAGAGCTGTAATCCATAGGTAGAAATAAGAGGAAGACAGATTTGGGCAAAAAGCTAAGAACCTCCTAACAATTAGAGTTATTTGAAAGTAGAAAGGTAATAATTATTTTTTCTTACTGAAGGTGTTTAAGCTATGGCTTAGTAATCAGTTGGTTACAAGGGGTGGGGACCAACAGATGCAGAACAGGGAATTTATGCATCACGTTGAGGGGTTAAATTGCACCAGACATGATCCCTAGGTCCTTTCTCTCTCTTTGAAACTATAAACAATACAAAGAGAAAGTATACTAAAAATGCTAACTTGACCATGTGGGACCAGGTACTAGAATCAACAGAGTGACTCAGAAGATCCAAATGATGCATTCAGGGTACAGAGCATCATATTTCTCACATATCTTTCTAAGTACATGAAGCTGATGAAGTAGATGAAGGAACCTGGAGTTCACTGGATTTTACCAGAATGATGGTGGCAGTGTATGGAAGATAGGTTGGTAATAGAAATCTAACCTAATATATATATAGGCCTGTTTAATCAAACACTTGCTTTCTGTAATCTTACCAGTAATATTGTGGATGGGATGTAGAATATCTGTGTTGGAATCTTTTGTTCATAAAGTCTCTTGTTAAATTCTGTCACATAGTGTTGGGCTGTCATTTGCCTCTCTACATCGATGAAGTGGTGCAAGAGCCCCTTCTGCTCCTTATATTCTTTCCCAACATATCTATGAAAGGAGAAAAGCCACACAAGGAGACGCAAAAGTGATTTACTATAGAGTTAAGAGAGTGGAGATCAAAACAAAAATTCAAAAATGCTTGACAAATGTTTCTCTTTCTCTGTTTCAGATAATCAATATTAATTATTTTGACTTAGCTCAGACTCAAATAATTTTGTATGAACCACCTGAAAAATGGAACACAATTCATGTTAGCTGACCGTGATGGTAAATTTTATGTGTCATTTTGATTTGGCCACAGGATGCTCAGATAGTTTGGTCAAATATTATTCTGGGTGTTCTGTGAAGTTGCTTTTGATTTTAAACCAGTAGACTGAGTAAAGCAGATTAAGCTCTCTAATGTGAATGAACCTCATCCAATCAGTTGAAAGACCAAATAGGAAAAAAAGACCTTCTTACTTGAAAAAAGACCTTTTCCCCAAGTAAGAGAGAATTCCTCTTGACTGACTGCCTTTAGCGGGGACATTGGTCTTTTCCTGCCTTTGGACTTGAACTGAAACATCAGCTCTTTCTGGGTCCTGGGCCTGCTGGCCTTTGGACTGGAACTACACCATCAGCCCTCCTGGACCTCCAGCTTGCCACTTGCAGATCTTGAGACTTGTCAGTCCATAATCATGTGAGCCAGTTCTTGGTACAAAGTCTCTGTCTATATGTATATATATCCTGTTGGGTCTGTCTTTCTGGAGAACCCAAATACACTGACTCAGGACCATATTGATTAAAAAGAGAACTTGTCCAATTCATATAGCAGTTTGTCAAACTTCTTTGGTAAGGCAAGGGAGCCAACATGGGTAGCAGAAAGTGTACAGACTCTGAAGCCAGATCTTTCACTCCCTGCAGCATGGCTTTATACAAGTCAGTTAATCAATCTGAAGCCCTCCTCTAATTTTTGCCTTTTGTGATTACTTCATCTCTACAAATACTAGTTTTCCATCATCACCTATTACATGCACAACACTGGGCGAGTCCTGAGTGTTGTCCTGAGTGTTTTGAACAATGTGTGAGACGTGATTTGTATATTCTGAAGGCTTTTGCATAGCTGGGTATGGAAGAATACAAAGCAGTAAACGACTAAGTGTTGAATGGAGGGAAATAATAAGTACTATACTTTATTGTAGCTTCTATTTGCTGTAGGTTGCTGTGAATTTATGAGTAATTCACATGGGTCAGGTGACTTCCAAAACACCAAATGAATCGTCAGTCTCAATGAGAGAAAATTCTCTCCAGAAATTTCTAAGTCCAATATAATAATGGAATCCAAGTCAGCTGCAGTTTTGGTGATTCAAATTCCTGGGGGATCAGAAGATATCTGACAGTGGAGGCTGCAGAGGAGGAGATGACACACATTAAAAAGCAGCTTGCAGAGGAGCAGTTGTAAATGATTCAAGCATTTCTGGAGACTTTGGGGCCTGCAGAGGATTGGAACCAGTTGGGAACTGTGAACAAGCCCTGTGGTTGCTGGGACTAGAGCATTTCCTGAACGTGCTGCCAGAGGACCTCCAGCCCCAGGTTCAAGATCAGTCTGGGGACAGAGGCCCATTCCTTCTAGCATCTTCTGTCATTTTGTTTGGATCGTTTTTCTTTAGCAAAATTGGAACCAGTTGGGAACTGTGAACAAGCCCTGTGGTTGCTGGGACTAGAGCATTTCCTGAACGTGCTGCCAGAGGACCTCCAGCCCCAGGTTCAAGATCAGTCTGGGGACAGAGGCCCATTCCTTCTAGCATCTTCTGTCATTTTGTTTGGATCGTTTTTCTTTAGCAAAGATTATCAGCAAACTCGCTTGTTTCTTTGGTTGCTCTTAAGATTGTTTCCTGGTGTTGTGAGGTTTGACAACAACATACCTAGATGTGAATTTATGATTTATTTTCTCCCTCCCTCCCTCCCTCCCTCCCTCCCTCCTTCCTTCCTTCCTTCCTTCCTTCCGTTTCTTCCCTCCTTCCCTTTCTATTCTATTTGGGATTCACTGAGATTTATTTAAAAATTAATGTATTTTACCAATTCTGGAAAATTATCAGAACTTATCTATTCAAATAATAATTATTTTCTATTTGCTCTGTTATCTTTTTTCTGATCACTCCATCTTCCATGTCTCTTATTCTCTCTTTTATTTCCCAACTCAGATCCTCTTAAATTAGTTTCTTTGGGCTGCTGTAACAAAGTACCGTGAACAAGGGGGCTCAAACCCCAGAACTGATTCTCTCACGCTTCTGGGAGCTGGACGTCTGAGGTCAGGGTGTCAGCAGGGCCTTGCTCCTCCTGAAGGCAGCGGGGAAGGAGGTTTTCCAGGCCTCTCGCTTGGCTTCTGGTAGTTCCTGCCTTGTGGCAGCATAACTACAATTTTCATGTTTTCTCCCTGTGTGCATGTCTATCTCCAGATACGTTTGGCCTCATCTTAGGTTAATTAATTATATTTCCAATGACTATTTCCAAGGAAGATCACAGTCTGAGGTACTGGGACATAGAACTTCAACACTGAATTTGAGGGGCAGGCAGAGAGATGGTAAGAAACTCATTTTACCCATAACACCTGGCTCTACCAGTTGGCTGTGTGATTTGGGGCAAGTTTCTTAACATCTCTGTGCCTCAGTTCCCTTGTCTGTAAAATGAGGATGATGATAAAATCTGAGAAGTGACTAGTGGGAAGGGCTGGGGGAGAAGGGGAGGCAGATAAAGGGGCACAAGAATTCTCAATCACAATAAAAGTTTTTCATGGGCACTGTAGTACAGCATGGAGAATAGAGTCAATGATTCTGTAACATCTTTCTATGTTGATAGATATTAACTGCATTAGAAGGGGTGAGGATTTGATAATGTGGGTTACTGTTGAACCACTGTATTGTACAACTGAAACCAACAGAAGATTGTATATCAATGATACTTCAATAAAACAAACAAACAAAAATAATATCTGCCTCATGAGGTTTTGTGAGGATCAATTAAATTAGTATATAATTTAATTTGTGAACTGGGCTGTCCACAGTTCGGATTTCTTAGAATATTTTAACGAAAGAGCATCTGGAAACAGGGCTTGGCACATAGCAAGTATATTTACATGTTTACTATTATTATTGCTATCATCAACAACGTCTTCAAGAAATGTACTTCTACTACGTAATATTCACCCAATTTCTCTCTTTCTTTCCTCCCTCTCTTCTTATCTATTTCTTACATTTAGATTTGGGTAGGGAACAGGGTTTACTTTAAATTAAAATTCTTGGCTTACAGGTCTTTTTAAATACACAAGTGGTGTGAAATTATACCTCAAACCCAGTGAGGATGGTCTATAGGCACTAATTTTGCATGTGAGTTTTTGCTTAGAGTTGTCATCAAGAACCAAGGTCAAACAAAAATTTTTCCAGGCATTTGTCTCAATGGGATGGCATTTTTTAAAGATAATTTTTTCCTTGAGGATGGAGCCACTCTTCAGAACCTGCTCTATATAGGTGGTCTCTAAACTCAATCCCTTCCATGTGTGACTTTTGTCACTAGCTGCTCCCTCATTCAACTCCTGTCTAAAAGTTTTACGGGGGGTGTCTTTGGGGGTCAGTATTCTTTTGTATCTCTGGATAAGCTTCAACCAGGGCCTTAGAGGATTTTCCTGCCCCCCTTTTTTTTTGCAGGCTTATTTATTTACTTAAAAGTGTGCTTTCTTTCCTAGTCTAACTAGACTTTTTGCCAACACTGTTACTGAGAGTGTTTAAGGTGCTCTGTCCTGCCATATGGCCAGAAACGCCATTTTTCTTATCTGTACAAAGGGAATAATGGGTTTGAGATCGTGTGTATCAATGTGAAATGGCTGACATAATGCTGGTCAATATGGGGTACCTGTTATTAATGAATGAGGAGGAGGAAGGAGCAGAAATCTGAAAATACATATTTTGGTAAACTTTTTGAGCCCTTTCAAAATCGCATAAATGACTAATTAATTGAAATGCAAAATAAGCCCATGTTATGTTAGTAATATAGATGTTTAAAAGCCATACCTCCCCAGAATTTCTTCTTGATGAAGATGATGAACCCAAAAAGCATTTCTTTGTCTGCCTTTCTTCTTCACATTCAGGTAGTCCCCCAAATACGCAGTCGTTTCCTGGGCTGTCCACAGTTCGGATTTCTTAGAATATTTTAACGAAAGAGCATCTGGAAAAAAAGATGAGATGAAAATAGATTTTAGTTGCAAAAGGATATTACAATTTGTAACTAAAGTTGAAGTGACACAGGTCATAATCCAGATCATCTGAAATCTTCAACTTCTTAACACATCTTCTCAAATTTCAACCTCTTCTGTGGCTCCTTCTAAAAAGTTAGTGAAGTACAATACAAAAGTAAAGCTTTACAAATATAATGAAGATTCACATAATGGCAAGAGTTTCTGTCCTGTAAGGATAGAGAATAAAGGGCTTTTTAAACAGCAAAACGCAAGAGACCATCTTGGGCTAATAAGTGATACATGGTTGGACCTTCTAATGTTCTGGGTGGCCCAGATAACATTCTGCTACTTGTACCAGATCACATAGCTAAAAATAAATAATTTTGCCCCTGAGGATCCTGATTACATATTAAAGTTCACTCTAATTTCTCTTACTTGCTTTAAATTGGGGAAATCCAGGAATTACTTAAGAATAGAGCAACAAAGATGCAAATTCAATTGACAAAGGAAAAGATAAGAGGGAAAAGTAAGGACTCTCTCCATCCCTAAAGAAAGAAGCAGAAGTGCTAGCCAGGAAGTATCACTTTGAGGAAAAGACCAATATGAACTCTGAGGGGAAAATGTGACAATTTGGGGTCCAAGTTAAAAAGATGTGAACAAGTACTTGTGTTGTCACCTATATCAGTACCTCATTCTTGTCAAATTACATTCCATTGTATGGAGGCACCACATGTTGTTTATCCCTTTGTTGACTGATAGACATCTAAGTTGTTTTCAGTTTTTAGCTATTATGAATAGGGCTGCTATGAACATTCATGTACAAGTTTTTATTTGAACACTTGCTCTCAATTCTTTTGGATGCAGACCAAGGAGTGGAGTTGCTGGATTATGTTATACTTCTATGTTTAACTTTTTGAGGAACTGCCTGTTTTCCACAGCGGCTGTGCCATTTTTACATTCCCACTAGCAATGTATGAGAGTTCCAATTTCTCCACTTTCTCCCCAGTACTTGCTATTTTCTTATTATTAAAAAAATAATTATGGCCATTAAAAAAAAAGAGGTGAACAAGGACCTCTTGTGTCTAGGTGGTGATTATGGATATGTGAAAGGGAGACCCAGAGGAGAAAATACGTAAAGTAAGATAACTCACAGGTCTGGGATGGGGGCAGAGATGACTGGGGGTTGGGGAATGGTGACTGGGGTTGGGCCACTCCACCAGAGAAGCTGGGATGAGATGGAAGGTGAGCTGCTTGCCCACAGGTAGGAAGGGAGCGGCTTGAGGGAAGAAGAATGGAGAAAATGTATGTATTTGGGCCTTGCTTCCTCCAATGTGGTTTTTCATCCATCACGGACACATTCACATGACAATGAAGTAGCTACCTAAAGAAGAAATGTGATTCCAAACCTGCAGAATCTCACAGTGCACAGGGAAACCCTACTAGAAGATAATTTTTGCTTTTTTTGGGAACAATCTGATCCATATTGTAGTCTAACTTAAAGGTGGCAGGCAAAACATTGGAATACTTTGAAGCTGAAGTTTTCAGCGTTGGCTTTATGTGAACTCCCTGGAGAGCTCTTAAAAACTACTGATGCCTGAATCCATAGCCCAGACCCATCAGAACGGAATCTCTGAGATGAGGCATCAGAAGGTTTAAAAGCCATCCAGGGGATTCTCAGGTGGTGCTAAGGCTGAGAACCACTAGTTTAGTATCCAGTGTTTAGCAATTCACATAGTTTGTTTCTTCTGAACTGCACATCACAATAGTTTTTTTCTCATTCAAATAATTCTTCAGAGTCTTGGAGGGCATTATGATATGAGCCTGAGGGCTTTTGTCTTCTTCCCAGCTCCTCCACCACTTCTAAGCTCTTTAGACACAGAGTACTGGGTGGCCCCAACCCAGTCTCCTTGCTATAGGAGGTGACCTTAGGTTGACCCTTAAGCAGGAAGTACTTCCTGATGGTAACAGTAGGGGACACCTGTTCAGTCCATGGCTGGCAAGAAACTTCGTAAGTGGACAGGTTATAAAAATCTCTGCCCACTGGAGGGATAATGTTTAACTAGGAGAAACTCTGTCTCCCTAGAATTTGAATGAGGAAAAATAGAGAGAAATCACCTGGTTGGTAATGAGAATCAATGGAGAAGATAGATGCTGAGTGGATATGGCATCCAGAGCTGTTTTAAACCCTGACTGATGACTGTTGATGAGTCCTCTAAGATTTCTGTCTCTCTCACTGCCTTGTGTGTCTTTATAGCAAACCTTAATATATGAGGTGGCCTGAGTAAGTCTCTACTTTTTACAACTGTTAGCATCCAGCATATAAGGAGTGAGGAAGGGTCCTGAAGTACCCATTTCTTGTGTTCTCACAAGGCTTCATAGGACTCTATGTCCTTCATGAACCTTAAGTGATCTACACAAACTTTTTGGATGGCCCCAAACGTACGTAGATATTTCCTGAGGCTGTACCTACTGAAAAAGTTGTACTTACTGTATACTCGGTGGAGTTGATTGGGCTTAAAAACTCCCGTGTTCTGCAGTCTCTGGAACAGCCAATCATGCCTCACTCCTGCCAAGAGTTTTTCAAAGTCATCAGGCTGCAGGGTGCGAGCCTCAAGGATCTCTTGCCTCGTCATTCCAAGCAATGAAACAAAAGAGCTTCCAGTGGAATTCAGAAAGGACGACGGGCTGTCCCCTTCAGAAGAACCCCTGGAAAATGCAGGTGATTCCAACCACCACATGGAGGACGAGCTGGAGTTCTGGCTGCAGTTCAGTAAGTTTCCAGGATAATTTCCCTCTTCTGTGGTAGCACAGTCCTCCTTGAGGACAGGGAAGGGAATGTTACTGTGTACAGAGGAGCTGGGGGTGTCAGACCCCTGATCATGTTTACTTGCCGGGTAAATGTCCGAGCTGCCGGGCAGTGGACCCTCTTCATCCACTGTGGAGGCGTCGTGGTCAATGCCCTGCTCTTTGACAGAGCCACTGCTTTTTCCTGAGTCAGGATTTCGAAGAGGCCAGTGAGGAGTGAAAGAGCTACATGTCATCACGGAACTTTTCCCCAGAGAATCGTCCATGACTATGGGAGAGTCTAAGGGCACATCCTCTGTTCCTTCTGCTGTTTCTTCTTCTGGGTCAACCCAGGAGGAACTATATTTTGGTATCAGGCCTGTAACTCTTTTGATTTCTTCTTCCTTCTCTTCTCTATGCCTGTCTTTGGCATTATAGTTGATTTCTGGAAACCCATCAATGATTTCAAAGGTTTCCTCTCCTTGGACTGAAGGATATGTGGCCATGATCTTGGTCCAACCAGAATCAGACAAAGACCAAGAAGCAGAGCCAAGTGAAGATCTGGAATGAGCAAAAGTGTTTCTGGAGCCCATATTTCTGACTTCCTGCAAACCTTCTGGAGATCCTTCTAACCACCTTGCACCAGAGGTCAAGAAAGTGCCTGTTGTGTTATGAGGAGGGAAGGTTGTCAAGGGCATGTGCTTGTGCAGTTGACTTTGAGAAGACTCTAAATCATCATCCTTCGATACCTGGACAGAGAGATCATAAAGTTCTGAAGACAAAGAATGTATAGATCTGTTTTTCCCAGTGGGCCCCAGCTCTTCAGACAGGGCAGTGGAACACTGAGTGTCCAGAACATGTTCTTCTTTGCTATGTTCTTTTCTGGTTGGCCTATCATCAACATCAAACTTCAAGTCTTCCCAGCTTGTGGAAGAACTAAACCCTGATAACTTGCTCCAGGAACTGGAGGTCTGGCTGTCACTCAGAGACTTGTTCCAAACATCTTCTTGACTGTTGCTGTGGTCTGGTGACTCCGTCTCAGTCTCCACACCTTGATCAAAAGAGACCCGAAATGCATCCGAATGAATCCAGTTTCTCCTTCCTACTCCTTTGAGTTTCTCCTGACCATTCTTAGCCTTTTGGGAGGAGGAGGTTACTGTGTCTCTTTGAAAATGTGGTTTGTCCTCGGTAGTACTCACAGTATCTATGGCTTTTGTTTCTGTTTTTAGAGCAGTGATACAGACTCTTGTTTTTGTATCTTCCTGTTTATTTTTGTTGTTTCCACAAGTGCTTTCAAATACTTCACACACTGAAGTATGATGCTGAGAATAGGTTTCAAGGATTTTTTGGAAATCCATTTGCTCATGCAAAATGAGTTCATCCAAATTACATTTGAAATCCTCTGGAACGTAAGACTTGTCATCTAAATTTGAGAAGCTTTGAACTTGGAAATGATCCTTCACCTGGGTGATAATAGACATGATTTCTTGAGACAGAGTTTTCCTCTCCTGACTTTTGGAGGACGTACTGAAAATATACAGCTTTCCCATAGCTTCACTGCAGAGCTGACTTGCTTCATGGACCATCCCTATCTCCCCACAGAGTCTTTGGTGTACTGTGGTGAGACCGAAGGCAGCTTTGAGGAAACTGTGAAGCTCCTGTTTTCCAGTAACTGGTTTCTCATATCTCTTAGTGAGAAGGCCAATTTCAAAGGCCTGTTTGGCTTCATATAGATAGGAAGTCTTCATCTCCAGAGGACAGTCATTAGAACTACCATATGACAACAAGCATGTGCCTCGGATATTCTGAAGAAAATGCAAAGTACAAAATCAGACATTGAATTTGAAATCAGAAGTAAACCAGGAAAATCTTCATCCTAGAGGACAGTCATTACAAATATTATAGGGAAATAAAACATGGGCCATGGATCGTCTAAGAAAAATACACAATGAAATATTGAGTCAAGGACTTGAGATTCTTTTCAGTGAATCAAAAGGAGGGCCTGGAATGTATGTGATTGGTTGGCATAAAGGGATAAGGAATCAGCTGTAACTACTACCCTATTATGTCCCTGATACTTTTTGATCCAAAATGGTAGATTTGTTAATGTTGTTGCTGTCAATCTTAGCAAACAGAGGCTGTATACAGCATGTGGACCTAATAATTTTCTCTATGCAAATAAGTTTGCTCTACATAAACTATCCTTTATTTAAAAATAGTCAAATCAATACAGTAGTGGCTTCCAAACCCCTCCAAGCATTTGAATGACTGGGCAGTATTTCAAAGTGAAAGATTTCAGGGTACCGATCCCACTAATTTCCACAGTGGCTCTAGGGTAGAATTCAGGAATATGTATTCTGAAAAGTTTCCCTGGGTAAGTCTGATGTGCTTGGGACTCATTGTTCTAGAGCAGACAACATCAGATCCTTTGGCTGAATTACATAGCTCCCACCCAGATGTCACCACTTTTATAAAAATTTTCCATACATAAAGTCTGATTACAATTATCTAATGATGTGCACAAAGCCTCCTTTAAAATTAGGCCTTTCCCTCCCACTGGCTCCAGCCACCACTGGGGATGAGGACGGTGAGAGGCTGCACTCTGTTTACCATAGCTGTGAGCACGTAGAGGGGCGTGTAGGGACTCAAGGCAGCTGCCAGCTTGCATGCTTCTGCGGCTGACAGCAAATGGTGCTCAAACTCCTTTGGCGAGCCCTGTGAGAAGACAAGAGGCCAAGTGTGGTGGCAACAATTATTTGCACATTAGCAAAAGACAGGCTTTGAAATTCCTTTGTTTTTCTTTCAGGATTCTGAGGGATGTCCTGCCCCTCATCACAACCATTTCAGAACAGTGCCAAGAAAGAGTCAGTGGGTTGTAAGACCCCAGGGCATTGACTGTCCTTTCCTGCAGCACCCATACACCATCTATCTCCCACCTCCAGCCCAGAGAGGGCCTAATAAGGGCAAAAATTCACGATGCCTGCTTCTGCAGAATAGTGCAGGCAAGTTTCTTTGGAGGACCAGGTGGATTTTTGTTCACAAGAACTCTACACATTCTGCAGCGAGAATAACTAATTATTTCTGCAGTGTTCTTGGCAAAGAGCCTGTTAATGTATGATTTCACAGCGATTAAGATTCATTCATTCATTCTAGAAATCTGCAGTGTTCTTGGCAAAGAGCCTGTTAATGTATGATTTCACAGCGATTAAGATTCATTCATTCATTCTAGAAATGTGTATTGAATATCTCCATGTGTCTGGCATTGTAGGCACTGTTCTAAACATGAAGGAGACAGAAGACAGTGAACCTGCAATGAGCTTACTTTCTATTGCAGGGAGGGGATAAGTCAATACACAAAATAAGTAACATGCGTAATACTGGAGATGGTGATAAGTGCTCCAGAGAAAAATAAAATGGGGAAGGTGTTAAGGAGGTCCAGGTTGGGAAGGCAGTTTGCAGTCTTAAGCAGTCATCAGAGACAACTTTACTGAACAAGGGACATGACCCTTTTCCTGTGTTTTGGTCTGAAGCGAAAGCAGCATGTTGCTAAGATTCAGATTGTTCACCTCAGGCTGTGCTTGTTCTTACGCTGCCCTGATTAGAACTGAGTGCAGTTACTACTGTCATTTTGGTAGTTAATAAAAACGGCAATATTGATGACACCATTTAGAAAATCTCAATTTCAGTGCAGTGCAGGATTTCAGTTCAATGTCTGTGTTAATGTTCTGGATGAGTCAGGGACCTGGGTTCTGCTCCCACCTCTCTTTCTTATTGGGTGTGCAAACTACAGAGGTCACTTAATTTCTCTAGACCTCAGGTTATTTTCCCTTACACTGGGCATGATGAATTTTGCTCTACCTACTGCACAGGGTTTTATGTAGCTCATATACATACATACACATGCTTTTTGCTTTTATATAAATATTGGTAATCATTATTATTAAGAGTCTGGACAAATGATTGATACTCTCTTTTGAGCAGATGATAATTAAAGTTTTAAAATTATTTCCCTGTTACTTTTCCCTGTGGAAATTAAACTTTGTGTTAATTTGAAAGGAAGTCAATGGGGTTCACAACACTTCTCACTTTTGATGGTCATCATTCCTTCACTCACCAGTCATTTTCCTTAGTACCCTCTGTATATCTGGTACTATGTGAGGTGCTGGGGTAAAAAAGCCAAACAGAATACCAGAGGAACTATCCCCAGATTTTTCTGCATCACTCAAAGAGGGAGACACTGTGCTCTCTGCCTCTTGGAGAGAACAAGATTGACTAACCAAGCTCCAAGAATAACATGTTTTGGGGTGCAGGGCGATGCCATTCTGCACCGTGGTTTTGACAGTGATAATTACCAAGTTCACTTGCAGATTCTGTTTAAACTTCTCATAATCTTTCTTGCTCATGGAAACAAAGATGTCTGCCAGTATACCTAGCGACGAAGCAATTCCCTATGAGGAAAATTCAAACAAAACACAGGTTAGGAATTCACAGTCAATTACTGTTCTCATCTCAAGGCCTAAAGGCAATGAATAGCCCTCCTTGTGAAACACTACTTATTATTATTATTATTGTTATTATGACCCTGGAAATACTAAACTGGATTCCACAGGGCTTGAAAGAGCATCACAACCCAGGGACATGGGCCTAGTGTAAGCCCAGCTGGGTTATCCACACTAACTTGTCCACACTGTGGGGCCTGAAGAGTTGACCCGGGCAGCAGTGCTTCAGTTAATGAGGAGAACATTCCCACAGAGTTACAGAGCATGAAAAACAGCAAGTGGGAAAGCAGATCTTGCCTCTCAATTTCTTAAATAAAGATGCTACATAAACAATGAATTGAAGTCTTCACCCACTTAATGAAAAGAAAATGATTTTACATAACAGCAACTTAGCCATCTCAGCTTTGCTATGGAATTAGGTAAAGACTCTAAATATAGTCTTTACTATATTTATATAAGAAATATATAATAAAAGAGACAGATGAATGCATCTGGATACAAATATATCAATAGATATTTACAAATAAGTATGGGAACACTAAATATAAGCCAGGAGTCTAGCTGTGAGTGAGGACAGAGAAAGAGAAGTTACCGAATGTCCCTGGTCCTGTGTCCTTGTAGAATCAATAAAAAAATGGACCAACAAAATTGATAAATGATAAACTGAATTGTGCCATAAGTGATAATCATCTAAAGACAAATACAAGAAAGGAGAAAACAAGCAGTAGACATACAACCTTTTTATCTGGCTGAGGCAGTGTTAAATATCCAATGATTGAGGCCCATATTAACTCTGCTGCTTCGTACCACATGCCTGAAAAAAAGGCAGAGATGGGTCAGACTGCTAGTACCTGTGCTCTTGTGCTAGAAACGTCTTTGAAAACTAATACAGAAAGAGGACTCATTGGATCCTGTGAGGAAAATTTTGGGCTGCATCAGATTGACAGCAATCAGCACACAGGTTTTTTGCATCCAATCTATTTTTCCAATTGGTTAATATAGATAATTTTTCTATTTCACAGGGAAATAGTAAGAATTTTATATATTGTATATAACATGTTCATATATATAATTATCTCCATTATTTACCATCTTCTGTTAAAAAATTTCAAACACTTTAATTTGCATTTTAAAGTGCAATTTGAGTTCTATAAACTGCCTGAAAATCTCAGGTTTGCTATGGAATTAGGTAAAGACTAAATATAGGGGGAATAAGAGGGTAAGGTGTCACTACTACATCACATGGAGTCCTACTGAACTGAGCATCAGATGCCAGAAGTAAAACTGAGAACCCCATGGTTGATGGTCACAGTGTGCAACTGATGAATTTCTTTCACAAAACTCAACAAAAATATTTCACTTTATGAATGTTCATAACACTCCTTGGATCTTAAATGTCATTTTCTTTTTCAAGGAGGAAAAAAAGGAGTGGGTATTAACAATTTTAATGATACAATAGGACAATTCCCCAGTAAAATGCTGCAGCCAGACTGTGAATGAGCCAAGAGAGGAGTAAATGTGCAGTGACCAGACCCAGCTTTTGCAGAATCTGCCCTCTGATCTGTATGCAGACCGACTGCACCAGGATCTTGTCACTTTCACTTCTGTACAGCCAGGTACCTACAATAATAGAAGGGAAAATGAAAGCATATTTGGCCTGGAATTATGAAAGAAATAGCCTGGTGAAATAAAACTGTTTTCACAGAAGCCTTCATGTGCATGTGTGGTATAGGTTTGAGAGACAATGCCTCCTCTAGGTTCAGAGTAAGGCCCAAGCTCCTTGCTGCAACCTCCAGTGCTTCACAGGAGCAGAGTCCTGCCCGGCACCCGGCTCTCCCCGTGCCAGCTGTGCTCTGCCACCTGGCCTTATGGGTGTTCCTCACCACAGCAGCTGGCCCTTGCTCCTTTGCCTCTGCACTTGCCATTACCTCTGCCTGGGATCTGCTTCTTTCTCACTGCCCAGGACGGGAGTCCAGCTCCTTCTGCTTCAGGTGTCAGCCTCAGTGCCATTGCCTCTGAGGCTCCGCAGGTTAATGTACCTGCAGTATTACCCACCATCCTGCAGTCGCCTCATTGAGGGTGGGATCCATCCCCTTCCCCCAGAATTGGTTTGGATGTCAAAACTGATAACTGTCCATGCACCAGGAGAGTATGAAAAATTTGTCCTCATATTAGGTGGCTTTCTGAGGAGGGCAGGGCAGGCACCCAGGGCAGGTCCATTTGACTTGAGTGAAGAGAGTGGTGTCTTTGAGTTTTCTTGTGATTAGGGTGTGGGGCTAGGAAAAGGCTCCCACAAGGTTTACTGATGACTTTTTTAAAGAAAAATAAGCCTGTCCACAAGCGGGGCCAAAGGAATGGGGAAAGGCTGGGGCCTGAAAGCTGTCAGTGGTCAAACAAATATATAGTCAAACAATCAAAATATAGTCAGACTCATTATTCTTGGGTACATCACCATTTTTATTTTCTCCCTAGCATTTAATGTGTGTGTGTGTGAGGTGCAGATGATGGGAAGGGTGCATATTCTGCATTAGCAATAGTGGCCACAGATGAGGGATATGGTCAATATTTGTATTCCAAACTCTTCCCCACTGGAAATGTCTACAAGTTTCAAGGAACTTGGGACCTTGTATCCAAGCACATGGAGCTTTAAAGTCTCCTGGATATGGTGTTTAACTTATTGGGAAACTAGTTGACTGTAACGGTCAGCAATTCAGACAAGACAACTGAGGGCTTAAATTATTTGTTACCCAAGTATTCAGATTTGCTTCCTTCTATATGTGAGTAAATATTTAAAAAAAATAAGTTTTTATTAAAGTATATAGAAAAATCAAATCTGTTTTCCAAACCATCTAAATACATAAAGCCATAAATGTATTCTTCTGAACTTACAAACTTCATTTCCATTCACAATTTTAAAGACTGCTGAGCCCTTTCTGAAGTACCTAGTTACCTGTTTTAACAGATATTGTTCATTAGATAACATACCCTACAACAAAGCAGGGAAATATTGGCTTTTTTATAGTACTATTTGTTTTTGTTTTTAATTAGAGGAGATGGACCCACAGAGAAGTAATCTGCTTGACCGAAACCATTTCATTCATCAGTGGGAGAGCCCATCCTAGGCTGCTCTGGGAATGTCTAGTGTACAGTGACCATTAGGTCATCAAGTTGTTTGTAAACTAGAACTCAGGTAGGGGCTGAGGGTGGAGGTCACTGTGGAGACGTGAGAGCGCTTTACCTGTTGCTCCACTGTTGCTTATTAGACTGCTCAGGATGTACTCTGCTTTTAAAAGTTTCCCTGGAAAAAGGAACCAAACACCACACAATTAGTTCTGAGCATGTGCTTTAAATACTACTAGTAGTTCATGCTCTAAGATTTACACATTATACAGGGACCATAACCTCTCTTGGAAACATTCTATTGTAAAATTTAAAATCAGTAACTCTATCACATATAAAAGTGAAAAGAAAGATGAAGCTTTCAGGAATTGGGAAGGTGAGTGTGGTACAGGATCTGAAATGACAATTAGATTTGTATCTGTATGTGCATATATTCATTCATATGAATGACTGACTCATTCACATAGGCTAAGGCTTGAGAAGTAAGGCAAACCTTGGTGAAAGGCTGTGTGTCCTCTCTGTGTCCAGAGAGGACAGGTAATGACTCTAGCATCTTTCTACGCTGATGGACAGTGACTACAGTGGGGAGGGGGGGAGGACTTGATAATATGGGGGAATGTTGAAAGCACAATGTTGTTCATGTGAAATCTTCATAAGATTGTATATCAGTGATACATTAATAAAAGAAAAGGCTGGTGTGTCTTCCTTCTGCGGAAGCGACACCTCAGGAAGTGGGATGGGGGTGCCCATGAGCAGGACTGTTTACCAAATTAGCAGGAAGTTTTTTTTTTAAGGGGAGGCAGGTAAAGAAATTCTTTCTAAACTTTTTTCTTATTTTGGTTGCCACCACATAAGAGGTGCCTAATGGCAGTTGTTTTCCATAAGTAGGAAAGACAATCATTTATCCTTTTATCCATCCCTTTGTCCGGGTGCCTCTCAGCCCTGCATGACCTCGCCCTGGACCTTATCTCTACCGTTCTCTCCCTCACTCACACTCTCTCGACTTTGGTTACCGTGGTCTCCTTACTGTTCCTTGAACCTGCCGGGTTTGTCCCCACATCAGGGTCTTTGCCCTGCAACTGTTTCAGTCCTGAATGTGTTTATACTGAGTATCCCCGATGTTTACTCCCTCTTCTTTGGGTTTTTGCTCAGAGATCACTGTCTCATGAGGCCTTCCCTGACTGCCCCCTTTCCCATCACATACACAGGAATGCCCCTGCCTGTGGTGGACTGTGTTTCTGAGGAGGCCACCACAATAGCCCCATCACACACACTCTTTTGCAGTGTGAGCTTGCCATTTCTCTAGCAAGAAGCTGAATGTAGAGTTCCTTTCCCTTCACCTTGAGTCTGCACTGGCCCTGTGACCTGTTGTGGCCGATGGGATGTGGCAGAAGTGACACTGTGCACCTTTAGGGTCTGATCATTAAGAGATCTGTAATGATACCTTCACCTCTGCACACCCAGCCACCATGCAGCGAGGGAGCTGAGGCTGCTGCGTGGAGAGGCCCAGGCAGAGGGGACACCGACAGGCCCAGGGGAACTCCTGTGGCAGCCGGGCCCAAACACCTGCTGTGTGGATGACACTGTTTGGCCTCTGGCTGTCCCAGCTTCCCAGCTGACACTACTTAAAATAATTACCTTGTGGAGATGTACAACTATGAGACATCATAAATAATTATTGTTTTAAGCCTGTAAGTTAGGGGGTGGCTTGTAACATACCAATCCATGACAGAAATTGGGCACCTGAAAGTGGGACACTGCTGTAACAAGAGCTTAGATGGTACAGCATTGGCTAGGAACCAGCTGTCAGGAAGAGGCTGGAATGATGCTGAGAAGACTGAAAAAGCAGTGAGGAAATTGTTACTGGAGGTTTGAGAAAGGGGAATGTGTTACGGAGCAGTGGGCAGTTTGGCATCCTGATCTCCTGCAGTAGAAATAGAAATAGAAATAGAAAATACAACCAGTGAACTTGTTATCTAGCAAAGGAGCCATCCAGGAAGAATGTTGAAAGTACCAAATGGATATCTTTGAGCTACTTAGGATACCGTGTGAGAAGAGAGAAACTAAAGAGGGACCTATCTCATTTTAGAATGAATTTAGAAGGATTTAGAAGAATATAGAAGGCCCAAAATAGCCTTTCCAGCCAGCGAGCATTCTCACAATAAATTAAAACCTGGTGGCAAAGGTCAGTTCCAAGGCACTGGAAGTAAAATGTAGCCAAGATCAAATCAAGGTTCTGGCTATAAAATCTTTTGTTAAGACCTCAGACCCTCCTGAAGGAACAAGAGCCTCTAAGACTCTCTAAGGGCACTGCTCCGTAGCACTTTGACTTGTAGGGCAGAGTAGAGCTCACGGGTAATCGTAGATATGGCTTTTGTTTACTTTAAGGCATTGAAAAAGCTACAAAGTATTTAAAGGAATTATATCATCTTACTCTATGAAGAGAAGCAAAAGTTCAAAATCAAACCCAACCAGGAACCTACCTTTCTACAGGAAGCATGCAGCAGGCTGAGATACGTTCATGAGAAAGGTCCCATGGAAAAGGAAGGATGACTCAGAGGACTTGACCAGCCCCAAAGACAAGGAATGAGCCCTGAAGTCCCTAGAAGGCAGATTTGGGATTATATGCCTGGCTGGATTTTAGATTAATATGGACATAATGACTGCTCTGTGACTTTCATTTCCCCCCATCTGGACAGGAGGGTTTGAAGTCATCTCTCTGTTGTATGCTGTTTGTGATGGAGGGTAGAGAACTTGCCTTTTACTTCCCAAATCTCTGTAACTCCAGAAGCAGTACCTAAGAATAATTATCTGTCCCTGATCCAATTTGGAGTACAAGACCCTGGACTTTGAGCCTGATGCCTTTGGGGTGACACTCCAAGGGATGGGTAAGAGTATTTTGCATGTGGGAGGGATGTGAATTACTGTGTTAAGAGCATGAACTATGATTAAATTGTTTTAAACCACTAAGTTTTGGAGAGTTTTGTTATGGAACCAAGGAGAAGTGAAATGTTGGCACCTCCTCTTCACCTTCTCTGCTTTATTTTTCTCCAGGGCACTTATTTTCATAACACATACTATGTACTTTAATTATTTACTTTTTGCCTGCGTCCTCCACTGGACTGTAAACTCCAAGACAGCAGGGGTTTTGTTCAGTCCTCTGTCTCATTCCCCTCTAGCAATCCTTGGCACATAGCAGATACTCAGTAAGTATTTGTTAGTCATTCAAACAGATATTTGAATTGTGTCAGGAACATGGCGTATCTTCCCCCTTATTTATGTCTTCTTCAGTTTCTTTCATCAATGTCTTATAGGTTTCAGAGTACAGGTCTTTCACATCCTTGATTAAATTTATTCCTAAATATTTTGTTCTTTTTGATGTTATTGTAAATGGGCTCTTCTTACTTTCTTTTTCAGACAGTTCCTTGTTAGCATACAAAAATACAACTGACTCTTGTATGTTTATTTTGTTCTTGCAACTTTACTGAATTCAGTTATTAGTTCTAACAGTTTTTGGTAGAGTCTTCATTTTTTAAATTGTTTTGTTTGTTTCTGTAGTTCTTTGTTTCTTCTTCTCTCATAATTTGATGACTTTCTTTACTGTTATGTTTGGATTCTTGTCTCTTTATTTTTTGTGTATCTATTATAGGTTTTGGTTTGTGGTTACCACGAGGTTCATATATAACACCCTATGTCTATAGCAGTCTATTTCAACTTGATGGTTGCTTAAGTTCTAATGTGTTCTAAGAGCAGTACATTTTACACTCCTCCCATGTTTTATATATTTCATACCTTATTTTATATCTTTTTATATTGTGCACCCCTTAACTAATTATTGTGGACATACTTGATTTTACTGTTTTTGGTTTTTAAACTTCATACCAGCTGTGTAAGTAACTGTTCAACTAACTTTGATATGGGTTTGCTTTTACCAGTGAAATTTTTTCTTTCATAATTTTCTTAGTTCTAGTTGTAGCTTTTTATTTTTTATTAAAGAAGTCCCATTAACATTTCACATAAGGCCAGATTAGTGGTGATGAACTCCTTTAATTTTTGCTTGTCTGGCAAATTCTTTATCTCTCCTTCAATTCTGGATGATAACCCTACTGGGCAGAGTATTCTTGGTTATAGGCTTTTTCCTTTCAGCACTTTGAATATATCATGGCGCTTTCTGGTCTGCAAAGTTTCTGTTGAAAAATCAACTGATAATCTTAGAGGTGTTTTTCTTGTATATCACCAAGTTTTTTTCTCTTGCTGCCTTTTAAGATTTTCTCTTTAATTTTTGACAATTTAATTATTATGTGGCTTGGTATGGATCTCTTTGAGCTTATCTTGTTTGGGGCTCTCCATGATTCCTGGACCTGGATGTCTGTTTTCCCTCTCCTAGTTAGAGAAGTTTTCAGCTTTTATTTCTTCAAATACGTTTTCTGCCCCTTTCTCTCTCTTCTCCTTCTGGGACCTCCATAATGGGAATTTTAGTATGCTTGATGTTGTCTCAGAGGTCCTTTTACCTATCCTTATTTTAAATGTTCCTTTTTCTTTTTTGTTGTTAGCTTGTTTGATTTCCACTACCCTCTCTTCTAGATCACTGATTCATTCTTTTGCATCCTCTAATATGTTGTTGATTCCCTCTAGAGTAGTTTTCATTTCAGTTATTATATTTTTCAGCTCTCACTGGTCCTTTCCTATCTGTAATTCTTTTCTGTTATATCTTTTTGTTGAAATTCTCACTGTGTTCATTTATTCTTCTCCCAAGTTTGGTGTATGTCTTTATGACCCTTACTTTGAACTCTTTATCAGGTAGATTGCATATCTCTATTTTGTTTAGTTCTTTTTCTGAGGTTTTATTTTGTTCATTTGTTTGGAACATATTCCTCTATTTCCTAATTTTGCCTGACTCTCTCTGTTTATTAGGTAGGTCAGCTATAACTACTGGTCTTGGAAGTAGTGGCCTTATGTAGAAGGCATCCTGTGGGGCCCAGAAGCACAGTCCCTTCTGTGCACCAGAACCAGGCACTCCAGGAGTGTCCCCTGTTGAGATTGGGCCTTAGCTGCTGTGGGTATGCTGGTGGGTAGTGTTAACCCAGATTGGCTGGCTGAGAGGCTCAGCTGTGACTGCTGTGGGCATCCTGGTAGGAGGTGTTAGTCTCTGGTGTGGCTGGCTGTGAGACCTGGCTGTAGTTGCTGAGTGTGTGTTTGTGGGCAGGACTGCCCACTCCTGGGGGGAGGAGAAATTGCTTTGGAGGGGTTCCTGCCAGGGCAGATCTATGGAGAATGCCAGGGCAGGGTGAGAAGTGCTAGCAAGGTAGATAGTGTTGGAGCTGGTGCCTACCAGCATCAGGCTAGCTAAGGTGAAGGGGGCATGAAAACCAGCACCTGCCAGTGCTTCTGTTCCTGGAGAAAGTTCCTAGAGATCCCTGCTCCTCCAGCACACAGTCTAAAATTAGTGAATAATTCTCCCTCATGTACGGTGCAGGCACTTTTCAAACTGCTGCCTCTGTGCTGGATCTCTGAATGAGTGAGCTTGTGCGTGTGCCCTCTAACAGTGGAGTCTCAGTTTCTTGTAGGCCTCTGGCTCTCCAGAGATAAGCCCCACTCGTTTTCAAAGCTCTTGCAGTTAAGCATCTCTGATTTTCAAAGCCAGATGTTATGGCAGCTCATCTTCCCAATGCAGATTCCCAGGATCTGGGATGCCCAAAGTGGGGCTTGAAACCCTTGTTTCTCAGGGAGGACCTCGTCACCTGTGACATCCCTCCGGCTTGTGGGTTACACACTGCGGGCTTGGGTCCTGGCCAGACCACATCTCTGCCCCTCCTACCCCTATCAGTGTGGCCTTCACTTTACCTGTCTAGCTATGCAAGAGCTTTGCTGTTAGTCCTCAGGTGGTTTGCAGACAGACTTGCTCTATATGGAGCTGCAGCCTTGCTGTGTTTGTGGGAGGAGGTGACTCAGTGTCCTCCTGTTTGGCCACCTTTTGGAGTATTCTCTGGGACTTTTATCTTAGACTAGGATGTACGAGCAGAGGAGCATACTGCTCATGATGATAATAACATGGCTTGTTATCAGGAGAAAAACTCTGTATCACCTTGGTTAGAAGCATGAGAGAAATAACAAAACAAATAAGTGAAAATTATTTCTGGCTGTAGGCAAAGCAAAACTATCAGCATGTCTGCTTAAACTTGACCTCAGTTTCCAAGTCACACTACAGCAATTCTGTATATCCTATCATATGTATGTATATCATATCCAACTTCTCCTTGGTAAGAGCCAATTTTAGAACTGCCTGCGTGCTCCCAGCCCTCCTCATTCAGGTCCCCTCTCAGAAAGCTCTGGTCATTGCTCTTTGATGCCATCAGAAGGAATATGAGTTGTTAGTTTTCCCTCATAGCACAAACATTACAAACCTCAAAACATTCTAAAATGTTCCAAATCAGGAACATCTGAAGGAAGAAATTTTTCCTAAATTCAACTCTATCCTTGCAGTTACTTTAAAAAGTAAATAATAAGATATGGGCACAATTTATGCACAGCTGCCAGAACTTGAACGTGAATGAACTTGGGCTTTGGAAAAGTTAACCTCCGCAGGCTCATTTCTCTCAGGTCCTTTTATCTCTGCATCCAGCAATTGTCTGTGTTAGTATAGTGAGTACAGTTCCCATTCAAAGGAAATTAAGTAAAGATATTTTAACCTCTTAAAGAGAGAGTTATTAAAATAATAATAATAATAATAATAAAGATAGCTAAAACCAATTTAAAAAATGAGGTAGTCCTGTTTCTGGGAGGGGCAACTTGCCTCCTATTTTCATTCTTTATTCTTTCACTCTTGGAAATGAGGATAGCAGGTACATGTTTCCAAACCTCATGGATATTGGTAACTTAATTCAAGAATTCGATGGAAGTGAACTTTTGCTGCAATACATAGCAGGCCTCCACCCCTCCAACCCCACCTTTCTATTACATCCTTAGTTAGAATGTCAGCCTCATATTTCATTTCATTCAACATCACAGAAGGAAAAAAGATACTTTAAGGCCTAATCAGGTACTGTACCGGTGTTCTGAGTGATGGAAAAAAACCCTCAAATTACTTGAGTGGGTTTGTCGGCTCTTTTGTTAGCATAGTCAAGTGGCCCTACAGAAAGGAGACAGGAGAGCTAAGAGAAAATAGTCGAATTCTAATCTGCTTTTTAAAGGCTCTCGGTCAGAAGTATAGCAATTCAGATATCCCTGTTTGAAAGCAGCAGGACAGATTTGTTAGAAGACAAAAGCGCCAATTAGTATTTTCCACACCCTTTCACAATTTTCTCTACTGCTTTTGGCTCTGAAACCCTTTATGCCAGGGCCTTTGTGCCGGCAGGAGGCGGGTGGAAGGGCATGGAGGGCCGGGGGCGGGGAGACCCGCAGCCCGAGGAGCGGCCCGCGGGCCCCGGTGCCCGCCGGCCTCAGGGGCAGTCAAGGCTGCCTGGAGGGAAGCGAGCCCCACACCCCGCGACCCCGGGACAAGGACGGAGCAAAGGAGGGCGCCCACCTGAGTTGACGGAGATCCGCGCCTGGCGGATCACCACCTGGGGCGCGATCGGCGTTGCTGGCTGCAGCCTGTGGAGCCCTTTGGCGACTTGCAGCAGGTGGCCGGACACGTCGAGCCCGTACAGGAGCCGGTCGCTCAGGAACACGATGGCCGCGGCGGTGCGGCAGTCCCGCGCGCGGACGCAGGCCTCCAGGGACGCCTGCGGGGACAGCCGCGGGCCGGTGGGAGAAGGCGGGCTTGGGGCCGCGCGCGGTCTTCTCGGGTTTTTTTTTTTTTTT